TTTTTTTTAAATTATAAAAACCACAGTTTGAAACGAAATTTCAATTATTTTTTTAAAAATTAATTTTTCAATACTGTAATGAATTTTCACTTTCTACATGTTTCATAAAAGATAAAATAAGAGAAAAGAGATGTTTATTTGATGAAATTATCAAATTTTTATCATTCTCATAATTTCATTTTTTTCAAAAATGAAAAAAAAAATCCAATTTTTCCTTTTGTCAAATAAACAAACCTTCAAGGATAGTTTTGCCTTCAAATTGCCAAAAAATTTCCAACGATGGGTCACCACGTACTCGACATACAATTTCCGCATCTTCACCCTCTTCCGGATGTTGCTCCAATTCAACATCAATAAATTCCGCCGCTTCTGGAAGAATAAATTACTTCAATACCTCTCATTAAAATTTGTAAATGATTATTTTCAAATTTGATTCTTAAAAGAAAATATAAAAAAACATATGTTAAAATTTTTTTTCTCCCCTTTTTTTCTAGAATTAATTTTATTTCTGAATATATATACATATATATATGCTTGAATTTCACTATAATTTTAATTAAAATTAATTTTTTTCTCGACGTTATGTTTTCTTTTCCCTGTTTTGTACACCATAAAATGATAAATCATTAGAACAAATTTTATTGTAAACAAATTTCCTTTTCTTTTAAATTTCAAAATTAGATTGATGGATATTTGTTAAGAAGAATAATACGAACGAATGAATGATATCTTTGTTGATTTATTCTTTGTTTGACTATTACCATTGCTAACATTGACCACACATTTGTACGTACCGCTATCCTCAACAATCGGCTTGATGAAAAGTAATCGAGCTGACAGTGGCTTCACACGACTTACTGCTATCCTTTACAAAAAAAAAGTGAAATTTAAAAAATTTCATTTGATACAAATATTTGTTACAAAAACCATTGAAATCAAATCTATTTGTGTAAAAACGCGCCTGTACTTGTTGATTGTTTAGTACCATTTTGTTCGCTTTCACGTATCATACATATCATATCACATCGTTCTCTTATCGTTACACAAAAATAAGTGTAACAAAAAAAAAAAAAGTCATTTACTTAACAGAGTAATAGATTTCTATTCTGAATAAATTATTTAATACAAATTAAATTTAGTTGTAATCATATTCCAAATTGTACTTTTCAATAATCATTAAATCGTATTTTATATCATATTTTATACTTAAATTAAATCATATTTTATACTTAAACTTGAATTTATTATTTAAACTTTCATTCCAAATTGTAATTAATTTAACAAGATTCATAATCTTTGTTCATTATTTTTCCATTTAAAATGGCAAAATTCTATCGCTTATCTGATATGAAAATGCAAAGAAAAAAGAGAGAGAATTATGAGAGAGGAAAAAAAGGAAATTTTTTTTCTCTCCTTAAATTCACATGACTCAAACTGCCGACATCGGTATTTGTTTCCATTTGTCTACAGCAGCTCATTTACATATATTGCGTATCCAAATCCAAACATACATTCCCATACACACATACACACACACACACACACACACACACA